TAGGCAGGACTCAAACTCAGGTCAGAGAGATATTTATTTGACAGTATGGAACGGAAAGGGGGTGGCAAGGATCAGGCGCGGAGCTGCCGGCGTGGGTCTCGGGTGATCGGGCCGCAGAAATGACTGGACCACTGGAGGAGCCGCCCGGGGTCGGAGGAGAGGTTTTGGCACTGCGTATAGAGCAGAGAAGGAGATTAAGAGAGGAGACAACAGGCAGATGAGGGTGCGATGATGCTGAGCACAACACAGGTGACCTGCGTATAGAGGACTGCTGGCTCCGGGCTGGAGAGCGTGCTTGGAACCCAGCGCCGAGGTATGCAGACAGGAACAAGGGCCCACGCTTAACGGACCCAGGCATTGGATGTGGACCCCCACCAACGATCGTTGCTCGGCAGCAAGACCCACGGAGACATAGGTGGCATGAGGCAGCAGTTCAAAACATAAGACACTCCTCCGTAATCAGTTCCAAAAATAAACAGAAGATACTCCGTGGTAATGAGTTCAAAAATAAACATAAGATCTCTCCACTAGTCAGTTCAAAAAATAACAGAAGATACTCCTTGGTATTGAGTTCAAAAATAAACGCAAGATCTCTCCAACAGTCAGTTCAAAAATAACAGAAGATATTCCTCGGTAATCAGTTCACAAAACAGAAACAAGGAACTTACTCAAGTCGACACAGTTGAATAACACCAATATACCAGGGAAGGATGATCTTAGTAGACCTCAGGATCCAGGACATGAAACACGCAGAGTTACCGGCAGAAGACTGAGAGATCGTCTGGCAGCGAGGACACACCAGCGCCATGTTTAAGTACATAGCGGTTAATTGAGGGCAGGTGTGCCTCGTCGCCGGGAGCGTGTTCCTACGTGAGCAGGGGTGGAGTCGCTGATAGCCCTGGTAACAGCTGCCGAGGTGCCAGGGACGGCCTGATCCGCGGACGTAACAATCTGTTACCTGGAGCCACATGGAAGATCATCATTTATGGACAGTGTTCAACAACACTGAAATATTTGATCAAAGTAAATACTGGAACACAGTGCTACTGAAAGAAGCTTGTGCTATTAGCAATAATAAACCTGATTTGAACAGTGGTTTAAAATTCTACAGGGAATTGAAGCTGTTTGGATAATGTTTGTGGACAGGTCTGTGAGTTTTCCTGTTTCTGAAGATGGAGAGAGAGGTAAAATCAAAAGGTTTGAGTAAATAGCCATTATGCCTCTGTCCTTTTTAGGCATAGCTTTACTCTTATATGTAGGGGTCTGCTGGGAGAAATGGGCCAAAATTCTTGCAGTGTGCTGTGCAAAGTTTGTAGAAGGCTAAAAAACTGAAATTCAATTTTTTTCTACTTTTATTCTGAAATCAAAATTGTAGACATGTTCCTACCCATATAAGATTCCGAGAGTCTCCTGATTGAGGGCTGAGCTTGTCTCCTTTAATGGAGAGCCAGGGTAACATCACACAGAGACCAACAAGCTTCAGTTCAGGCAACTTTAACTGCAGTTCTCTCACCAACTTTGAATGGTGAGACGCCACCTTTGGCTGTGTCAGTTATGATTGCAGGTATATTACCAGGCCTGTGTCTTAGGCTGCTTTTGGTGCTATCTGCCATGTTTGGGTGAGATGCAAATAAAATGCTCCAACAGGCCCAAGATGCTTGTAACTGTGCTCAAGAGGTCAGAGATGCTTAGCTGACTGTGTGGATGGCATGGCTCATCAGCTCCATTAGCTGAGTAGACCCAATGACCTCCAGTCACTCCAGGTGACCACAGGGTCCAGCT